ATCGCGCTTTCCAGTGCCCACCGGGCCGAATCGTTCTCCGAGCTGCCTCAGTCATGGGCAGTGCCTCTGGGGTTCGGTCCAAGATGCTGAGCAGTATGGGTTTCGTCTCTGCGACTTCCCACAGGCGGCCCAGGCTTGGGGCATCTCTCTATGAGCTTTCTTCTCCTGGGAGGGGGACTTTGAGTAAGTTACTTAGGGTCTCTTATCCCCTATTGCTCCTCTGCAAGGTGAGGTGCTTTGGATGGAATCATGTAGACTCAACGTGCACCCAAGGCTCGTGCCACGCTGGCCCCTGCTGGTGGTGACTCATTTCTGACTCTTAGCCACACTTCTGCATCCTGCGACGCCCTCACACGTTCTGTCTTGTTTGAGCCCATTGTTGCGGCCACTGTGTCGGCCAGCTCACGGTGGTCTTCCTCTCTGCGCGGCCCTCCACGTGGGCACACCCGACGCCCTCCTCCAGGGCTGGTCTCTCCCCGGAGCGCCCAGGCGGTCTCAGGAGCACGCTGATGGCACGTCTTTCAAGACAGATTTGTTCTTCTCGTGGCAGCCCACGACAGTGCCACGCTTCCCCGTCAGCGTGGAGAATGCGTTAGGTTTCCGGGGTGCGTTAGGTTTATACCCCGGTTCTTGCTTCTCGACGCAGGGAGAAGGCACGCGGCAGAAGCTCTTTGGTAAATCCAAGTGGCTTTTCGGAGGGAAGGGGAAGTTCCCGGTACCACAGTCTCAGACAGACACACCACCCCTGGAAAGGGTGCAAGGCCACACGGCGGGGACCGCGGGGACCACGGGGAAAGGCGAGACTGAAAATGGCTACTTCCGGGGAGCGCGGGCAATCACGCGAAGATGAATACCGGAGCAGGAGCGCAAAGCCAAGCGCGCGGGACCAAGAGCAGGAAGCCCCAAGAGGCCAAGAGAAGGAGGCCTGAGATGGCGCGCAGGTGCTGGCGCTGCGCGCAGGTGCGAGAGATCCCCGCCCTCCGCTAGTAGAGCACGCGGCCGGCTTTTATCCCCTCTCGTCCCCGCTGGCTGGGAGCAGCGGGGAGCCAGGGTGGGGGGGACATGGTTGAGGGTATTGGTCGATCCTATTGGCTGCGTTTAGGCACACCTGTGTGATGTCATGTCACTGGTACCCACTCTGTGCCCAGGTGACTTGGGTCCGAGCATGCTCAGTTCCAGATTTTCCCATAGGTGTCTCATGAGTGTGCCCGACCTTCCCATCCCTTTATTGTGGCCCTGCCAGGCTCTTTCCGCTAGGGCAGGCATTTGGGAAGACAACCCCTCTTCATCTCTGAGCTAGCGACCTGTCAGTTCCACTCCAGTTCTTCTGGCCCACAGGCAGAGTGTAATATGCAGTGGACCCTTGTCCTTGGTGAGATTCTCTGCCTTGGCGGTATCAGTTAGCAGAGACCATGGATTAGTGTAGTGATCTTGGTGTCCCCAGTGCCTGCCACTGGTAGGCGATGTGTGGACATTGGGTGGGTGATGATTGGATCAATGGGCTAGCTATTGATCAAAGCTGAGCAGAGCCTGGATGAGGTTCACTGCCATTCTCTGACTGTGTGGGGCCACTGTGCCTCTGGAACCATATAGGGAAGGGTGACTTAGAAGAAGTATCTATAGCCCAGTTGCCCAGGAAAAAAAGGAGCGTCACCACTGTGGTAGTTACATCATCGTTTGTCAAGTTGAGGTTTAAGAGCAAAGGGGTGGAGTCTAGCCTGTCAACCAGGTGATAGCCAATGAGGCCTCTGTGTGGGCATGGCCTTCTCCTGAGGATTCTGGGAACTCCTGTCTTCCTCCCTGGAAGTGGGAGACCCGCTCTCTCTCGGCTCACTTCCTGCGAGATATTTTTGAGGAGAAGCCACGTGAAGCTACCCTGATGCAGCCAGAACCCTGGGAGCTGGGAGAACCACGTGGAGATCGCTGCCAGTGCTGAGATGCTTATGCCACCCACTGGCCTGTGACCTTCCTGCATTCAGCCATCATTGCATGTGTTGTGTGAGTCTGAAGAGGACTTTATAGATTGGTATCAGGCATATGGGCTAATATTAGGCTTATGGACTTGATCTGGACTGGGCTGGGATGTTTTCTCAATATTCAATTGCTCTTGTATATAAATCTCTTTTTTATATATGTATGAGTCTCCCTGGGTTTGTTTCTCTGGTCTACCCGGACTAACACAGCCACCTCTTCCCTTGCTCTTGGTTCAGTCTCTCTGTCGGTTACCTAGGGCTGCTAGACTAGAAACGCCACACTCACGTGGCTTCCACAAACAGAAATGGACTTTTTCACCATGCAGTAGGGCAGAAACCTGAGGTCACAGCATGGCAAGTATAGCAGGGTGCATAATAGACCCAGAGAGGTGAGGGGGAATCACGGTGTGACCTCTGGAGCACAGAGCCAAACACTTCAGGGCACTCTGTTGGTCCGGAGTCCCCTTTCACCAAATGCTTGAGATGTGTCTCATTTGGGAGCTGCCAGCCCCTTGGTAAAGCAAACCAGGCTTGGTGTCCAGCAGGGAAAAATACTAGTGATAAAGAAATGGGGGCAGAAGTCATCTGTAACCTCTGTTACTATTTAGGCACGTTTCCTTCCCTGACACTCATCCTGTGCTTTTGAAAGACGCAATTTTGCTTTTACATTTGCGATGTAATTTTATACTCATAACCCCTTTCAAGTGTAGAATCCAGTGGCATTCGTTAAAGTCACCAAGTTGTGCAACCACCATCCATGGCTACTGTGTTTCTTAGACAAATAGCAAATGATGCCCTTTATGGTTTTGCAAACTGTGCAAGCCCTTCCTGCACGCATTTCCTGTAATGAACACCTTATCCGTCTTGGCCTGTTATTCCCGAGGAGCCCTGGGAGTGCAGTGGCTATGAGCGGGGCTGCTGACTGTGAGGTTAGCTGTTCAAAGCCTTTAACCTCTCTTAGGGAGACACCCAGAGCTGTTTACTCCCATAAAGAGTTACCGTCTGGGAAACTCACAGGGCGCAGTTCCACGCAGTCCTCTAGGGTTGCCGAAAGTCCGCATTGACATGATGGCATTGAGTTTGGTTTGGTTTGGTTTGGGAGTTTTGTTATTTCCGTGGGTAGGCTATATGCAAAAAACCCCAGGCACTTTTAGTGCAACCCCCCCCCCCCACGCAAAGGAACTCCATAACCGTTTGCAGTCACTCTCCACCCAGCAGCTCCTGGCAGCAAGTCTGCTTTCTGTTTCTAGAGATTTGCTTATTTTGGGACACTTCCTATCAATGAGTCTTATCATATGTGGCCTTTTGTGTCTGGCTTCTTTCACTTAGCATAATGTTTTCAGGATTTGTTCATACTACAGATGCGGTGTTTCATTCTTTTTTAATAGCTGAATGACATTCCATTGTATGCATATACCAGTTTTTAAATACGTCTATCAGCTGATGGACATTTGACTTGTTTTTACTTGTTTAGTTGAGAGGGGCTATTATGAGTCATGCCGCTATGAGCAGAGATTTTTGGGCAGACCTTTTTGTTCGGATGTGTGTTTTCAATCGCCTGGGCCTGGACCAGTCCCTTGAAACCTAAGGCACCGTGAGACGGAAGAAGGAAGGTGGCAATTCCAAGGGCTTGAGGACTATTATTATTGAGGACTTACTGACCAAGGCTGTGCCCCTGGCAGTGGCAGGCTGACTTGCGTCTCCGTGCCCATTGGACAGCAGCCTAGGTTTGCATAGTCCTTGTGAGCAAAGGTGGCCTGGACTCCAAGGCCACCCAGCAAGTGTGACACAGCGTGACTTAGCAGAAGGATTTATTTGAGTGACATCGAGCATCTTTTCACGCGCTTTGGGGGCAGTTGGATATTTTCTTTGGAGAAGTGTGCCCTCAAGTCCTTTGCCTTTTTTTAACTTGAGGTTTGTTTTCATTTTTTTGTCTTGTTGTTGTTGAGCTATAACAGTTCTTCATTTATTCTGAATTGTAGGCTCTTCTTAGATACGTGGTTTGAAAATGTTTCCTCCATTTAGCGAATTTGCTTTCTTATTAGTGACCTTTGAAGCACAAAAGCCTTTAATTCTAATGAAGTCCAATTGATCATTTTTCCTTTGGTTGCTTATTCTTTATGTGTCATATCTAAGGAGCCATTGCCTAGTTCAAGGTCATGCGGATTGACATCTATGCTTTCTTCTGTGACTTGGCCCTTAAATCCAGGTCTTTGATCCATGTTGAATTGCTTTCGGTATATGGTGTGAGGTAAGGATCCAGCTCATTCTTTTCCATGTGTATATATCCAGTTCCCCCCCCGCCCCAAGTTGGAACCCCAGTTTTTCTAGCCTAGTTCTGACCCTGGGCTCCAAGCCAGGCTGAAGCAGGATATTCAGTTTGGCCCTCCAGCTACTGGAGGACCATGCCTCCCCTCCATGAGCCATGGTTTCACCGCCTTTGCTTGCTGACTCCCTCGCCACCATAGCTCCTACATTAGTAAATTCACAAAGGGTGACACTTTGCTAGAATAATCAAAGAAAACTCATACTAATAACACAGAGAATTATACACCAGGCCTTACATGTTTCTGCCTGGAAGTAACATAAGGCACACCTGCTCGTGTTGTATTGGCCAGAGCAAGCTACATGGACAGCAAACATCACAGCATGGGGGAAGACGGGACCTCCCATATGCCAGACCTTAAAGGAAAACTGCTGTTAGGGTTACAATAGCATCTATCATGTTGTTGCTACCTAGAAGCCGCACTTCTATTTCCTATTCCATTCAATTTCAAAGAAACATTGCTCGTTCATTGGTCATGACCCCTGGTTTGAAAAACACTGCTTCAGTGCCTGTCTTTGCCCATGCATCATGGACCACATGACACACCCTAGGCACAGCTGATTGGCTCATTGGGGTGGGTCACCTGACCCAGATTGCCCAATCAAACGCCTCTCCTGGGAATTTGGAATTGGGCCATTCCACGCGTTCGTTCGCAGTGGGAAGTTGAGGGAGATGCAGAGTAGAAGCAGGGCTGCAGTGACAGCCACATGCAAACCAAAAGGATGGAGACGCAGAAAGGGCCCTGAGTAAGCAGAGCGGTCGGTCCACAGAGAGAATGGAGCAGCCGCGCAGGGAGCAGCGCAGCCGGGAGAGCATGCAGCTCCGGAGGGAGAGGTGGAGGGAGAGCACAGCCTCCTGAGAGTCTGATGGCGTCCCAGTTCCCAGCTCCAGCCCCCGTGCGTCCTGCCTGCGCATCCTTCCCGTGAGAGTTTTGCCTCCTTACAGTCCCCCGACCCCTTGTCTTGAGCTCGTGGGTTTCCTTGTCGCCTGCCAGGGAGCCACAGCCAGTGGTTTCTTTTGCGGGGAGCCAGCCTGGGCGTTGAGGATCAGGTTCGTGGGGTGCAGACGAGAGTGGGGAAGTAGGCAAACCTAGCCCCCTCCATAGGCAGCACGTCTGGATCCGACCACGGGTGTTGCACGTTTGTTCTTGCTCTTCCGAGTGGACAGGCAGGGACCATGGGCCGTCTGGGAGGTGCTGTGTATGAGAGGTCCCCAAGCACTGGAACCTCTCCATGGGGGCCTTTTGGGGACAGTGCTGGGGTTGGTTGGGAGATCACAGGGTGACAGAGTGGAAAGGAGACAGGCAGGCCCTCCTTCACTTCCCTGAGCCTCAATTCTGTGGTCTCTGACATGGGATTGCTTCAGGGAGCCGACTGTGTTCAGGGAAAAATACGCAGAGACATGGCTAGGCTGTACCAGGCCCGCGGAGAATGCAGCAGGGAACCCAGCTGCCTCCTCGGCTTCCCTCAGGGGGTGCTTCCTTTCAGAGGCCGGTGGAGGTGGAGGGAAGGGAAAGCCCCCCTCCCCCACAGCCTGCTGTCCCCCATCCTCTCCTTGACCCACCCGCTTCCACACCCTGCTTTCCCTCCTCACCTCTCCTGCCCTCACTTCTTGTGTCATCATCCCTGCTGCTGACTTAAAAACACCGTTAGGAAGACAGTGGGTCGATGATGGAGAGCAGGCAGGATAGGACATGATTTCTAACTCTGGCCTCTTGATTGCTGTGTGTTCTTGGAAAAGCCACTGCCTCTTTCTGAGCCCTGGGTCAGTGATCAGTAAGATGGGGGTTATAATGCCCACCTGCCAGTGCACCCAACTACAGCTAGATCTTTCTTCCCTCCTCCTTAATTGACACCCCACCCCTTACTCTGCATCCCATCCCCCCCCACCCCATGCCTGATCCTATGGTGAGGGGTCCCACATCGGCCTTCCCTGACTCTGTTACCTGTGTCCCCAGACATGCCCATGGGCGCCCTGTTCTCTCCTTTCTGGTCCCAGGGCTCCTGGGGAGGTGGGGGGGGTGGGGCTTCGGCTTCTGGAAGCAGCTGGGCTCCTGGTGACCGGTGCCACATCTGTCCCCTCTGTGGCCCAGCCCCAGTGGCTCAGACCGTGTGATCTTGATCGCTTCCCATTTTAGCAGTTACCACACCCCAGCTGACTGGCATCTTCACACTCCAAACACTGATAAATATTCATGAAATGAGCCCAGGGCGCCTGGGGGAGTGGGGGAGGGATGGGCCAGGCCAGGCTCATCCGTGGTCCCTTGTGGCCTCTGAAGAAGTACAGGTGGGCAGTGGGGGCTGGGGGAGGTGATGCAGAGCCTTCACCCTGCTCCCCTTCGCCGAGGAGCTGCTGGCAGGCGCAACCCTGCCGGGCCACCTGGATCCAAGCTCCTGGTGGAAGGTTCCACCGCCGAAGCGTCCACGTGTGCCCCAGTGCCCTAGGCAGCCATCCTAGTTTTAGGAGTCGGCTCCGCCTGCTGTCTGTGCAGCTTCCGTCCACTCGCCTCTCCTGGCTGCAGTTTCCATTTAAAACTCTCAGAGTCATGCCCAGGGGCCTGGGTCCCCGCCCGCCCCTCTCCCTCTCTCCCCTGGAGATAGGAGCCCTGGTGGCCCAGCGGTGATGCGCTGGCTGCTAAGAGGGATCAGCGGTGTGAGCTCACTGGCTGCCCCGTGGGTGAAAGACGGGGCAGCTGGCTTCTCTGGAAGCCCTGTAGGGGGTTCTCCCCTTTCCTCTGCAAGGGAAAGCCGCTGGGGCCAGCCCAGAACCAGACCCGCCCTGGGTGCAGAAGGGGCTGAGAGTGGGCAGATGGGATGGGATGAGCAAGGGGGGTGTCCTTGGAGGAAAAGCCCTCCCCCTGCCCACACTAGAGGGGCAGGAGCTCCAGATGCCCCCTGGAAGCTCCCTCTGCCCGCAAGTGAAGGTCAGCGGCTCTTGGTCACTAACCCAGGGTGCCTGGGTGGGTGGAGGTGGGCAGAAGGGCTGGCTGCCTGATGGCGCCCATGTCCTGGCTCACCCGGGCCTTCCCTCTCTCCCTCTCTCTCCAGAGTGTTCAAGAAGGCCAGTCCAAATGGGAAGGTGAGTGTGGACGAGCCAAAGCGCAGCTGCTTGCCCCGCCTGACCCCAGCTGAGTACCCTCTGGTGGGACAATTAAGGAAATGACCTCTCCACTGACCTCCGGTGTCGGAAGGAGACCTAGCTGCCTGCCTGGAAGAGGGGGAGATGCGGCCCTGGACTTGGGAGCTCCCAGTCACAGACCGCAGGGAGCCACCCCAGGAACTTCCCATCTGAGGGGAGGTACAGCTCCTATGGACCTGAAGGAGGCCCTGCTGTGGTCGGGGAAGACCTCGACACCCAAGTCTCAGAGAGACTTCAGTGGAGTGTGGTGATTCCAGTACAAGCAGGGGGTCTCAGGGGGAACTCATGTCCCTGGCGTGAGTCCTCCCGTGAACCTCTGGGGCCCTAGCTATCTAGGGCACCTCTCAGAGTCTGCTCCCCCTTTCTTATTTTCCACACCCTCCAAGCGCCCCCCTGCTCTGCTCTCTGTTGAACAAATAGGCATTCCTGACATCATTCCATGCTGGCCTGGGCCCAGTGGGCTAGGGTGGGGGGCTGGGGGTAAGGTGTACTGAGAGGGTAAGGCACTGCCCTGTCACTCGGTGTCAAATAGGGCACAGACACAGATCTTTTTAAAATAAGGCCCCGGGGTGAACAAAGGGAGGACACTGGCCCAGCCTGTTTATTTCCCAAAGTCTGGGACCCCTGCTATGGAGTCTGCTCTGACTCCTAAGATCCTACACAGGCTTTCTGAGGCTGTAAATCTTTACGGGAGCGCCTAGTGCTTTCTTCTTCCTGTAGAATCGCTGGTGGGTTTGAACCACCATCCCTGTGGTTAGTAGTCCAACACTTACCTAGCAGTGCCAGGGAAAAAGAACACCAGGGAGCCCTGGGGCACAGTGCTTAAATACTGGACTACTAACCAGAAGGCTGCTGGTTCGAGCCCCCACCCCAGCTGCTCCATGGTCGAAAGGCCCAGAGATCTGTTTCCATAAAGATTACAGCCAAGAACACCTGATGGGGGGGGGGGGCGTTCTCCTGTGTCACTCGGGGACAGAATGAGTCCGAAGCAACTCGATGTCACCCGTCATCCAGCACCACAAGGCGTGAGCCCCCAATCACAGGCAGTGTTGGGACACACGGGCAGTTCCTTCTGTCCCTGAGAGCCGACAGGGAGGTGGGAGCTGAGCTAGGGATGTTTGTTGCAGGGCTGGGTCTGCCAGGCGGAGGAGCTTGGCCGCCTGATTTGGGTGGGCAAATAGCAGTACACATGATTCCGCAGCACCCCCTCTATGCCCACCGAGGCTGACACCACTTCAGCTTCATCAGTAGACACCACCAATCAGCCACGTCGTGCTTTCTTGCTGAGCTGTATTCTAGCTGAGCTTCCTTCTCAACCCCAGGCTGCAGACAGCCCACACCCACTGATCAAAATTGGCCCTTGGAATGAAAGCCACTTGTTTCATTCCTAATCTCTGGGCACAGAGGAACCACTCCGGAGTGAGCAGAGGGCATGCAGTGTGGGGAGATGTATGTGCATGTTCAGGGATGACCAGTCTTCTCAGAGGAGAGGCTGGGCCAGCGTGGGGGAGGGTACAGACAGCTGACCATGGAGGGGGCGGGGCAGTAGTCCAGGCAGGAGTGGCAGTAGGGACGGGGTGGTGTGATGGAGGCGGAGATAGGATGGAGGAAGAGCCAGCAGGATTTTGGGATTGTTGAGGGGGCAGGAAGCTTCTGATCCTCTGCTTTAGACTTTAAAACCCACTGTGTTTCTAGTTTGGGAGGTCTTCCCTGAAGTCTTCCTCCAGAAACAAGTCCTCAGGACCTTCCCCTATAAGTGACAGACCCCATGGGGCACCAGGAATCACCAAGCTCCTAACCCCCAGAGTTCCAGGGGCTCTGACCTTATGTGTGCGTCCCCCTGCCCCTGTGCCCTCTTAGGCCTTCCTGCCCAGCCTGTGAGGTAGCTGCTGCTCTGCCCTGCGATGCTCGGTACGAGAGCTGGTGCTTCAGCTCCCCAACCCTCAGTATCCTCACCTGTAAAACGGGAACAGCACCACCTCCTTTGGTGACACTTTAAACACGTCTCAAGGCTTTATGATCCCTGGTGTTTGGGCTGTATCGAGGCCAGGTCAGCATTTCAGTGAGGGTTACGGGGGTCTGAACGTGTCAGGGACAGCTAGGGCAGGAGGGCCTGTGGCTCTGCAGGGCTGTGCCTCCCAGGCGTCCGTCCAGGTGCTGACTCCTCCTGTACCTCTCCTCCCCAGCTCACCGTCTATCTGGGGAAGCGGGACTTTGTGGACCACGTTGAACTCGTGGACCCAGTGGGTGAGTCTCTACCGGGGTTGCGGGGTGGTGGTGGTGCGGGTGGGGAGACAGGCCTGGCCAGGCCCCTGGCACAGAAAGATGTGTGGTGTTGCCCAGGAATGGCCTTCTGGTCTCCAGAGGGACCCAAGGTCGGGATGTGGATGGCTTCTGGTTTCATTCAGCAAGCGTTCATGGAGCCGCTACTTTCCGGCTCCACCGAGGATGGTGGGAGAGGACGCTGCAGGAAGGACTGTGGCTAGAACAGAGAAGGCCCCGGGCTGTGATGATCCTGACGAGGATGATAACGATAGTGGCCACCACTGATTGTAAGGCTTCCTATGTTCCAAGGAGTCCCTTGGTGTCCCCGACGGCTAGCAAAGAGTTGGGCGTTCGAACCCACTCGGGGGCACCTCAGACAGGTCAGATACCCCATGGACAGCCATCAGAAACCCATGCCGCAGTCTGCTCTGCCCCATGGGGCGCGCGTCAGCATCAGCTCCGTACCCCCTGTAGGAGTTGGGTCCCTGCAGAGGAAGAAAGCCAGTGAGTCGTAAACAATGGGGCTTCCAAAAGTTCGTGGGGGAAACTACTACGATCTCTTAATTCTATTTCCCCATAAACCTTTTGAAGTTTTCGTATATATAATACATATATATATATACACACACACATCTAAAGCAGCAGTTCTCAGCCTGTGAGTCAAGACCCTGTTGGGGGTCAAACCACCCTTTCACAGGGGTCGCCTGATCCATAACAATAGCAAGATTACAGTAATGTAGTAGCAACAAAGATAATTTTATGGTTGGAGGGGTCACCACAACATGAGGAACTGTGTTAAAGAGTCATGGCATTAGGAAGGTTGAGATCCGCTGATCTAGAGAGAGAAATTTACTTCAAGGGAGCAGGTCACGGAGTTGTGGGGTCCGAAGGTCAGGCTCTGACTGGAGGCCCCTGCAGGCTCACATCCAGGAAGCTGAGGCCTGGGCATGAGGGGAGAGGGAGGAGGCATCTCTGCCAGACTCTCCATTCCTGTGCTGACCACACCCCACAGAAACGCCCCCTTCAACTGATTGCTTGATCACATCAGCTCATATCAGGAACCCCCATTGCCTTGCATTACATTATCTCTCAGGCAGGGCCATAGAGTCAATTGCAACTCACAGGGAGAGCTGCTCCTGTGGGTTTCCAAGACATGAATCTTTACAGGAACAGAAGCCTCATCTTGCTCGAGTAGAGCGGCTGGTGGTTTCAAACTGGGGACCTGGCTGATAGCAACTCAACTCTTATCCCACGATGCTACCAGGCGGCATTTCATTTTAGTACATTAATCACCAAATAGGAACTCATTTAGGAGCTGACCAAGCGCTGACCGTCTAGCCAAGGTGACACATACTGAGCCATGTACATAGCAACTAACAACACAGGATGCAGCTGACCCCGGAGGCAGCTGCTACATTGTCTCTGTTTACCAACAGGAGAAGGAGGAGGTGAGGCGAGGGTTTCCTCAGCCTGCTCCCCTTCACAGAGCTGCTAGATAGGAGCCTCGATTCAAAGGAGGCCCCACACGTCCTTTGCTGCGCTGCCTCCTAGTGGCAGAGGATGGGAGCCACAGCCGTGGGAGAGGGAAGGCAAAACCTTGGGGGTGTAAAGGGGGGCTGTCTGCTAGGTGGTGGTCCTGCCAGAGACTGGGCATGGCTGGAGACCCTCAAGGCCTATTTCTAGTTCAAGGTTTATGCCCCACAGCCCCCGCAGGGCTTGCACCTTCTAAGCCTGTCACATGTGCTGATCGTGCGACACGATCCTAATTCCCGTCAGCAAGTCCCAAATCCAGAAGAGCACCGAACCCCTGACCTTGTTCCTCAGTCGGCTGCAGAATGTATTTCGTGACAAACCTGACCTGGGTGAGGTGAGGCTCAGGAGTCCAGGGGCCGGGCCAATGGAAAGCCTGCCTGCCTGATAACTGAAGGGTGGTGCTTCAAGCCCACCCAGAAGCCCCTCGGAAGAAAGGCCTGGCAATCCGCGTCTGGGAAGGCAGCCCCCCAAAAGCCTGCAGAGCACAGTGCTGGCTGCACACACACACACACACACACACACACACACACACACACACACACACAGTGTCCAAGGGTCTGAGCTGATACCATAGCAACAGGGTGTGGAGTGTGTTTTTACACCCACACATCGAAGTGCATAAATGTGTGTGTGTTACTTTCTTGCTGAGACCATGCACATCTCCCCACACCGATGTTTGTGGGCTTGATCATGGACACTACCCTGACCCTGCAGAGGTCATTACAGAATTTTTGGCAGGCGCCTCCCATTATCTTTCTGTAATTTAGAAAGGTACTAGATTTCTAAGTATGCCTGGCTTTAGACCCTTGCTTTCATTCCTGTCCATAGATGGCAAGAGAGAAGTTCAGTAACCTGCCCAGGGTCACTGGTTGGGCAGAAGGAGAGGCAGGACTTGAAGCCAGAATGTCCGGTTCCCGTCGCTGTCCACTGCCCCCTGAAGGCCCATGGCATAGTTGCCGTGGTCCACAAGGCCAGTGGGGGTGGGGGTGGGTGGAGACAAAGCTGGCAGTGTGTGGCACTACCCGTTCCTCTCAGGAAGATGGGCCGTTGGGTTTGGGCTGGTGTTCAGGGTCCAGCTGGGAGGGTTTGCTCACTCTCTGTCCTTCTCCCAGACGGCGTGGTCCTGGTGGATCCTGAGTACCTCAAGGAGAGGAGAGGTGAGGCCATGCCCACCCAGGGAAGTCAGCTGCACCCTATGCCCCACTGTCTATAGGATGCCCCTTCCCTTCACCCCTTACTGACCCCTAGCCCAGGACCCCAGCTAATCTCATTGCCCCTCCCCGTTCTTCCCTCAGGTCCTTTGCCTCAGACAATCCCAGCTAACCCCTCTGTGGCAGGTGCCCTAGCCTCCCCCGGCCAGGACAGCCCTGCTCCACCCCACAGCAGAGGGGTGGATGGGGTAAGGGGGGTAGCAACTGCCAATGCCCTGAGCTCTTTCTCATCCGCACATCATAATCGTCCAGGGCGGGAGATGCTACTGGGCAAGAGTAAGTGTCTCATTGTCCAGCAGTGAAGAATGACCCCAGCCAAGTGCTGGGATTGTCCATGGTCAGCAGGAAGATGGGCTGTGCTGGGCCAGGCTTCCATGCCTTTCCCACAACACCCAAGGGTGCTCCCCTCCCTCAGCTCTCTCAGCTCCGCTCCTCACCCAGCCCCCACCTCCCGGCCTGCCGGCTAGGTCAGCCCCTCCTGTTTCTTAGAGAGACCCAGCATTCAGCCCCTTCCAGCCCATGCCCCATGGGCAGCTTCTCCAAGTGCCCAGCACTTGGGGACAGACCCCTGGCCACGGTGGCTGCGGCTGATGCTCTGGGAGGGTGGCTTGTCTGCTGCTCTCCAGCACACTCCTCAGCGCCCCCGCCTCCCCACAGTCTACGTGACCCTGACCTGTGCCTTCCGCTACGGCCGGGAAGACCTGGATGTCCTGGGCCTGACCTTTCGAAAGGACCTGTTTGTGGCCAACGTGCAGTCCTTCCCGCCGGCCCCCAAGGACAAGAAGCCCCTGACGCGTCTGCAGGAACGCCTCATCAAGAAGCTGGGCGAGCACGCCTACCCCTTCACCTTTGAGGTCGGTCTCACTGCCCTAAGTCTGGGCGGGGGCTGGGGCTTCCAGGAGCTCCACATCCGAGCTGGCACATGAGCTGAGGTGGCTTCGTGCCATCCGGTTTCCCACTGGGACACTGTTACTTCACCCCTGGTCAGTGTCTCTGCCCTGGCCACTGCCTGGGGTGTCACTCGTACTGCTGGACTACCCCCCAGCCCTCCTGGGCCCAGGTCACCAGAGGGAGAAAGGGGAGTACAGAAGTGACATGTGACACGCTCCTTGCCTGTCCTTTACAGATCCCTCCCAACCTGCCGTGCTCTGTGACGCTGCAGCCCGGCCCGGAAGACACAGGGAAGGTGGGTCAGCCCACCCCCCCCCCCCCGGTGCCCCCTAGGAGCCCAGGACCCCCTAGGGCCCTAGGGCTCTCCTGGCTTTCTCCCTGGGAGGGGCTGCACACACAGGCCACACGCCCCTTGTTGAGACCTTCTGGAGGCCTGACTGATCCCTGCCTGGCAGGCCTGGGGAGCTGTCGCGGACCCAGACCCAGTCTCACTCCCCTCCGGAAGGCACTGTGTTGCGAGGCCCAGTGTTGCGAGGCCCGGGTCTCCCCCAGCCCCCCAGCAGCCTTGTTCAGAGGCATGGCACAGCCAGGCTGCTGGGGCTCAGAGCGACGTGGCCCCACCAGAGTGGCATTGCTGTGCACGGCCCAGATACTCACCTGCAAAACCAAGTAACTGCAGCCGACAGGCCATGCAGCCCAGGTCCAGGGCTGCCGTGCAGGCTGTACCCAAGGCAGCGGTTGCTGAGGCTGCTGATGTCACAGCTGGGCTGGATGCTTCCCTCCTTTATGGCCACCCACCCAGACCGAGTCCATGGGGGTGGGGGTGGGCTGAGATGTCCTGTGTTGGGGAGGAGTCCATTGGGTAGGGGGCACCAAGGAGAGGCAGGTCCAGGGAGCCTGGGGTTCCCCGTCGACACCCTCGTTTGTAGAAGGAGAAGCGGGGCCTCGGGACTCTGGGCTCAGGGACCTTCCCCGGCAGGCCTGCGGTGTGGACTATGAGGTGAAAGCCTTCTGCGCCGAGAACCTGGAGGAGAAGATCCATAAGCGGTAAGCCCCTGGGGCGCGGAGAGGGCCACTCTGGACGGTTGGCAGGCCATGGAGGGCTTCTTGAAGGGGGGGGGGGCCTGAATTTGCCTGACTGGGACCTCAGCATCTTCGCACGCACACCGTGGGCCAACTTCCTTTTTCCTGAGCTTAGTGCCCTCCCTCCAGATAGCATGTCTTTTTCTTTTGTTTTATGAAAGAGAAAACAAATACCACCACCACCCGCCCAAATTGAAATCCAAATTGTTCACCTGGGAAGACAGCAAGGCAGGTTTTCTCCTGGCGCTCTGCACCTGCCCCCCCCCCCCCAATCTCCTGGTGACCAGCAGGAGGGGAGTGAAGAAGGTGGACCCACCCAGGGAGAAGAAAGGTGGTCAGGCCCAATCTCAAAGCTAGAAGCTGTCTGCAGAGGCACAGGCCCTGGGAGTGGGGGTGGGAGGTTGGGGGCAGAAGGCAGGGGAGAGAGACAGAGTGACTGAGACCCCTAGCTTGGCAGCCAGAAACAGCTGGCCCTGATTTCTGGGGCAAGCCACCCTACTCCACCATCCCCTGTGACTTGGCTGGCCTCAGTCTCCAGCTCTGATGCACCCAGTACCCCAGGCACAGTTCCTACACCCACTCTTTGGGCACTGGACTGAGCCCGCCACCTGGTGGCCACAGACTGTATTGCAGGCATCCCCAGTCCACTTCTGTTCCCCTGCTCCTCTAAGGCTTGAGACCAGGACAATGGAAGGGGATTATGGGTTGTGGGAGAAGATCTGACCAGAGCAAATATGAGGAGACGATTTTTACAGTGCCACCAACGTCGCTTCCCCACCCATGCAGCAGTTTAAATCTGCCCCAGAGAAGTTCTCAGAGCAGTGATCCGGTAGCCCACCCCTCTCCAGCCTCCAGGCACTGCTCAAAGTGAGAGGCATACTTAAACTCATTGAATCTTCACCCAGCCCTACACAGCAGGCCTGCTGCCACCAGCACTTCACATTAAGGACCCAGAGGCCCCCAAGATCAACTTGCTCACGGTTACCTAAGAGGAGGCTAGGACATCGGCCCCCAGAGAAGGGGAGGGGGCTTGTCTGAGCAACGGACTGTCACAGACTCAGTCCCCTCCCAGTCCCTGTGTTCGAGTTTCCTCCCCAGCCCCAGATACCTCCCCTAGCCCCACCCTAGCTCCGGCCTGCCTCCCCCTTACTCAGTCCATACCCCTCACTGAGCCCTGCCCTCTCAGAGCTCGGGGAGTCTTTCCTGGGCCCCTCTTCCTGATGCTTGTTTTTATTTACTAGCATATAACTGACTCACAGAGACCCCCAGGACTGCCGCTGTGGGTTTCTGAGACTGTACCTGTTTACGGGAGCAGAAAACCTCCTCTTTCTCCCACGGAGCCAGTGAGGGTTTCAGACCACTGACCTTGACCTTGCACTTAACAGCCCGATGTACAATCCATTAGGGGTTGAAATGGTCTCCATGGCGGTGAGTTGAGATATGTCACCAGGAGCCCCGGTGGCATGGCTGATTATGCATTGGGCTGCTAACCACAAGGTTAGTGGTTCAAACCCACCAGCCACTCCTCAGGAGAAAGATGAGGCTTTCTACTCCCGTAAACAGTGACAGTCTCAGAAACCCACAGGGACAGTTCTACCCTGTCCTTTAGGGTCGCTCCGAGTCAGCGTTGAGTGAGTGAGTGAGTGTGGTCAGGTGGCAACAGGACCCTTAGGCAGATCTCTGTCCACATTGGGGCTGCATTCTGAGGCAGTGGGGAGCCAGGGCAGTCCCTTGAGCAGGGGCGGGGTCTAAGGACTCAAGGAATGGGGACAAAGGCAGGCAGGCGCCTCTGGTCATCTTCTCACTCCCGTAGGAATTCCGTGCGCCTGGTCATCAGGAAGGTGCAGTATGCCCCGGAGAGGCCCGGCCCCCAGCCCACAGCAGAGACCACGCGCCAGTTCCTCATGTCCGACAAGCCCTTGCACCTGGAGGCCTCGCTGGATAAGGAGGTGGGAGCTGAGCCCGGCCAGGGGGTGCGTCGTTCAGGCTGAGCTCAGGGACCCCAGCCTGATGACCACGAGGCTTCAGGCAGCTGGAGGAACTCCGGGAGCCTAAAGCGGTGGCAGGAGGGGGCAG